AGACATGCCAGAAAGGTGTCTTGCTCACGCCTCACGCTTCTTAGAGCTCTCAGAGCTCTCCGTCTCTCTTGTCGGTGCCTCTCTGCACAGCTGCTGCAATGCCCGGATCTTTAAAGCTTCCGCGCACCAAGTCTCGAACCCATGCGCGAGCCGGAGCTGTGCGAGCCGGGGCTCATAGGACTCGCAGGGCCAGAAGCTTGAGCTCTCTTTGAGCCCTGGCCCGGACGTTCCGAGCTCAGTGTCCTGAGCGACTTCAAGGTCTCGTCACCCAGGCTCTGCCTGCTCTGCCGCATCGTGGCACGCCTGAGCCCGTGTTTGGGGCGCATAGTGTTCCACTAGCTCTAGATGGTCTCCGTCAGTCCTCCCCCTATAAGAAACTCCAAGCGTGATCTCCTAGCTCCCTTGATCTTCAGAAGCAGACCTAGAAAAAGCCTATAAGGCCTACAAGACAAGCCAAGGCGCGAGATGGAGAAGCCTGTTGACCTCTGCTGCCGACCTGCAACTTCTAGGAGCATCCCTGCACTCAGCTCGGATTGTTGCGTCGTGCCCTTCACCTGTCGGGAAGGGCTTGAGGCTCCAAGTCCGCTAAGTGCCGGGGCTGCTCGCCGCAGGGCGGGCCCCACCAGAGACTTGAAACTTCCTTCGCTTCGCTGGAGCGGCAAAGCGCAACTCGCTCGGGAGGGAGCGGTGAAGCGGCAATCTTGCGGCAACCGCCTTTTGAGGGGGGGGGGGCTTCCCCTCGCGGCCCCGGCGGCTCTTCTCTTAATTGGGAGCTTTAAAGAAAGGACTTGAGCTCGGCTGGAGCTCGGTGAGCTCCAGGCGTTGAGGACACTTTCGGAGGACGCTTCCGTGGCCGCAGTGGGGCCTTCTTTCCCCCTTGTTGGAGGCTTCCGGCCGATTTACCGCGAGAGCGGCCTCAATCTCAAATGAAGAAGTGTACGCTGACTCATGCAGCGGCGTACCAAACCGTCAAGTCAGAGTCTAGCACGCGATCTTCGATGTAGGTTCTTCGGTGATGTGGGCTGTGTGAAGGAAGTGGGCGAGACGTAGGACCGGAACTCTTCGACCTCCAGCCGCTGATGCGGCAAGAACTTTCTGCGTGCAGAAAAAAAGGAACCGGGAAGGGCTGAATTTGGTAGAGCTCACGCTAGGAGCACTCAAGCCCAGCCCTACTCGTCTCAGTTTCCAGTCCCAACAGAATAGCAGCTCTTCGACTTTCTACAACAGCAGGGCACTCACACCGAGAAGCAAGTTCACAGACATTGCATAATTTTTTCTGATTGGCGACGGACTCGTGAAGCACTTGTCGGTGCACTTTGTCCAGTGGCCCGTGGTGGTCAAGCTTTCAAGATGTGTTGAATCGTTTCTTTCGTCGAGAAGCTTCCTGCTTCTCCACCGTGGCTGCCCTTGTCGTCGCAACTCGTAGCACCTGGTCGAGCATGTGGCATGTCTGACGGATTTCCAGGCACGGGCTCAAGTCTCGCCTGTAACAGTCGAACATGCAACATGAGCGTTTGCCTTTCTAGCTGCGTTTCACGAATAGTTGTGGTATGGTTGTCGGTTGTCGGTGGTCCCAACCAATGTTGGCTTCTCTTGCCAAGCATGTTTGCGTTGCGCAGTTGGAAGTCCCAATGCTGCCTTTGCAAACAATCCATGCTCTCAACCATGACAGACGGATTGCAACAGGCAAAAGCGTGGGCTTGTTTCCAAAACGACCACCAAACAAGATCGAATATCCTTGGCCAAGGACATTATAGTTCTTGGCAGCAGATGTTTCACAACAGATGCGACGGAAGCTTTCTGGCTCGAGTTCTCGAGACAGAATGCTAGGAAGCAGCTGCGACTGTGAGAAGAGAGTGTGAGTGATCGATTGCAAAGTGTGCTACCTGCCTGCTGCACTGCTTGTATTTGCTTCTATCTGCTTGTGCTGCCGCGTGCGTAAAAAGTGGTGATGCTAATGGGCTGACCATGGCCGCACGTCCGACATGGGGAGCAGTCCATGTGCGTGCGTCTCTGGTTTCGAATTTCGCCGCGTGAAGTTCGCGAAGTACAAGCCGGATGGCAAGTTCTACACCGTGAAGCCGCGAGCCGAGAGCGGAGCCGAAGGCATTTCCACTCCCCTTTTTCCCCCGACCGACCCCTTTTAAAAGAAAGGATAAGAAAGGCGTCTTCTTCTCTTCTCTCCCCCACCGTGCTCTTCGCGCGCTTCCGCGCGCTGAGGTTCATGAAGAAGCACGAGATCATCAAGCTGAAGCTGAAGCAGGCGGGGCGCATGGCGTCGAGAATCCACGCAACTCGAAGCGGCTAGCACAGGTGGATCACATCAACAACGAGAAGAGGCTCATGGCGCAGATCTCTTATCCCTTCATTGTCGACATGCCAGCATCCCAGTTCTCCGGAAAGGGGGCTTGCGGGCTTGCTTCGACCTCTAGCTTCGAACTGTGATTAATAGCCGAAAAGCATCAAGCGACTGAGGATGGGCTATTGCAAAGAAGATCATTTTGTCTACATTGCAGCTCGGCGAAGCTCGGCAGCATGGGGCCTTTGTGGAGGGCGGCGTTTGCAAAGGTCATGGAGTCCATCAATGGCAGCGAGCTTTTCACGCATTTGCGTCGCGCACGGAAGTTTTCAGATGAGCAGAGCAAGTTCTACGCCCTCCAGGTGCGAAGATAGGCCAGGTAAGTAGCCACCTTCCATAGGCGTCGATAGACCCCTATATAGGCCCCTATGCGATTTCACTGCCGAACCCTGCAAGGACCCCTATCTATAGACCCTGTTCCCTTTCCTATAGGCCCCTGTCAATAGATCCCTATCGAATTCGCATAGACCCCTA